TATAGGCCAACAGATAGTATGAGTTTATAAAATCAGCAAAAATACGGTTCTAAATTTTAACAAATTCCTATGAATTATACCAAAATCTTCAGGAAAGCCCAGGGTTTTCAAATCCACTTTTTTTTTTTTTTTTGACAGGTTCTGTTTTAAATCAAGGAGAGACGATTTTCTAGCTTGACCCCGGTTACGTCATGCATTTTCTCTTGTAAAATACGTCCAATAGCGTAAATTCAACTCAAAGAGTACGGTGTTTTTTTTCAATAGAATTCATTCTAAACCATTTAATACAGTCCGTGAATAGTTGAATTAACTGAATCCACTTCTGTTTTTTGCCTAGATAGTCATTATTTTGAGAAAAGATCCAAAAACCGTGTTTTTGAGACATAATTTGTATGGGCTTACATGAGGGGGCGTGAGCTTGAAATCGTAGCTGACCAAATGTTAACAGATTTTTTCTGATGATACGGCATGAGAAATGTTCAATTTCTATCTTGTGTCTTTGTAAGTAGTTTTATGGACGGTTTATCGTCATGGTTTAGCCATAAAACGCTATTTATAGGTCACGTGACCTGTGACGTCACGCTGCCAGGGGGGTTGGTTACCATCAGCGTTGGCATACAAAGACTTTGGTAGTGTAATAACGTCAAAAAAGGTTTATTTCAAAAACTAGCGATAATGTTATCTTAGCAAGTCACGTGATATGTGACGTCATACACCCAAAATCGTTGGGGTGACTGACAGGGCACGTGACTACATCCCTGCCAAGTTTCGTAATCACAGGTTGTATTGCCGCGGAGAAAATGGTACAGGGGCCACCAGAGGTGTGGGGCCACCAGACGTTGGTGGAACGTGCCAACCCCTTCTCCTTTACTTTACCGTTGGTATTTGTGAATATTTAAACACTGATGATAATGTCAATATTGCATTTAAGCGTTGGTGTAGCTGTTTGCGACTTGTTCTTTCACTAGAATCCCAGGAGCTTGTACTGGATGACTTGACATGGAAACTTCTACTATCGGAGTTGACTGACAAAACTGCAGCAAATCTTTGTCACGGTATAGTTCTATAAAAGCTGCTTTTTCATGTGGCTGTAGCGCATTATCCACACTGTTGAAAACTTCTTGATATTTGACAGGATCTATTATCGATGGCCGAGGGAGTTTGATTGGTACAACTTTAAGGAAAGTTGGTGCTTTTCCACCTTTAGTGTGTAGTTCGCCATAACCCTCATCTTCCAGCTCTTGCATTAACTGCCTTACCTTGTCGCTGTTGATATGACGACTCCCACTCGTAATGGTCCTCAGCATATTTCTTGTCTTGACGAACGGACCAGGGTGGAGGAGAATCTTCTTTTTATATTTCAGATTGCTGGCTTCGTCATATGGTTCGTGTCCGACGTTTTCAGCTTTAGGTGCTTTGGGTGCGTTTGGCACTTTTGTGGCGGCTTCTTCGCGGTCACACTACACAGAAATGGAAAAAAGAAACAGAAAAATAAATGAATTTAAGAAAAAAAGAAAAATAGAAAGTAAGAGGAAAAGTAAAAACACAAAAGGAGAAAAGGGAAGAAAGAGGCACAGTAATTAGCGCACGAGCAACGGTATAACCTACCGTAGGTATACCGTAGTACGGCATCTATTTGAATGCCAGATTAAATTATATCGTAGTTAGGGAGCCTTGATAACTCGTCACCGGAACGCACATCACATTCAATGACACAAACACGTATATATACTGTATGAGTTTTACACTAGAGGATGGAAAGGGGAAGGATAACCGAATGTATGTCCATTGAACCATTTGATCCTTTGAATATAACCAAACAAACCAAATATTTTGTGATCTCGAGCGCATGCTCGTATCTTACCTGTCTATGAATGTTGCGTTGTTTTACAAAGTACTTGGTGAGTTCTACAGCTTGTCTCATGACAGTCTCTTCTATCTGGGTTGGAATCTGTTTCAACTCACGGCCTCCTAGCATCTCCCCAAGGACATGGTAAAACACATGGATATTTAGAGCTAGACGAAGAACTGTCCTCCTGTCTTTTGAGAGGGCGCCAGACAATGTTGCTCGAGTCTTCCATTGCTCGTTAAGCTTATTCGCTATCTCATTTGAATATTCGTTATATAAAGTTTTAGCTTTAAACGAAAGAAAGTATACTTTTGAGTCACTATGTTCATTATGCGTCTTCCAAATAAATTGATACATTTTCGACAAGTCAACAGTATGATACATTAATTTTAAGACGTCTTCACAATGGTCCATTTCTTCTTCCTTCAAGGCAACTGGAGGAGGAGTTGCAAGAAGAAAACGATCAGCTAATCCTTCATCTTTACTCAAGAGACTAAGGTAGGTCTCACTGAAGGACTCAGGCCGGCTGTAGCCGCCAATAACCACGCAAGGGTCTATCACTCCATCGTGGGGTATATTTTTGTTGTCGTCGGACGTCGACCATGATTTCCACTTGCTCATTCCATCATGTAGTGCGCAAAATACTTCTCTTTCATGCGCGGCTTTTTCTTCGCTTTCACCTAGAATATGTTTTAGGAACTTATCCAGTCTTGGACTAAAGAGAACGGTACCAGATGGATGTTCCACTGAGACAAGGAATAGATGATCCAGAGAGTGATAAAAATGTAGAATTTTGTCGCCTATCCCGCAGTGGGTGTGGTCATAACTGAGGTGCTGAAGGTGCAAGGGGTTTATTACCAAGTCAAAAGCTGCAGACTTTCCCGCGCCAGGATCGACCAAACAGGCACTATATATCATGGGAGGTTCTTTGTAGGCTGATCGCACCACTAGTTTAGTTTTGCCTCCAAGAAGACCAGGAATTACGGCCAGGAAGCCCATGAAGACTTGCTCTGGAGAACATGACACACTGTGGGCCAGGGTTTGAAGATAATCAAAGACTGGTTTTGGGGCTATTGAATGCCAGTCAAAAGACCCATATTTCTGTGCGCGCAGTATGGTATCGGCACTCAGGCTGTGGTTTACATCTAAACGAGGTCGCTTGTCAGGACGCTGCATACTTTCTGGGTAGATTAAAACACGACAAACACATGAGAAAACAAACACTTATATATACATTCTTATATTCATTTAGTACTTTTAGCGAAGTTTGCGCTTACGTCACCTTTTGATATTAATGTCCAATCAGAGATCTGTTGGCTACTGAAACAAAGAGATCCTTTGTTTTAACGGTTGGCAAATTTGAATGAGAAAAGATTTTCGACGTCAATTTTTGTAAACAGTGAATATCGCTATTTACATGAAGGTGAGTATTCTTATCATTTTATTTTAAGATATCAACAAAAACTTAGTTAGAAACACCGACGCAGCTCACACTAGTTTTTAGTTAGTTATATCTTCTTAGTACTACGAGTATAATAGAACGAAGGACTAGCGTCGTCCGAAACGTCTGTAAGTTTTTTCATCTTTTCACGGTGTATATTATCAATTAATTAATCAATCAAACATCCATCCATTCCCTTCTTTCACCTTCTTTCTCCCTCCCTCTCTTCTTACACGAGCTGGACTACGTCTTGCTACCCCCGGTATGCAAGTTGTTCTTAATGTCGTCACGCAAATGTTGCGTGACGAAGCTAAGAATGGCTGGGGAGACTAACGATGCTACTCGCCGCTTGATCAAGCAAATCAAGTAAAGCACCAAATTATTCCTTGGGCAATGTGTTGAAAAAAACCATTTTGCCTGCGAGAGAGGCTTTGTTTGTCATCTCTTTGAAAAGCAAGGGTACTAGGCAAAAAGGTAGTAGGAAAAGTAGTTCAGCTTATCATATTCGAGTCTATTAAGTAAATCGACAAAATCACTTGAGTGCCTTTTACCTTCTGTCGGTTGTCGTCTTGTTGCCAGCTTGTATTGAATAGTCGCTCTATCTAGTTCCGTCAATTTATAACTAGAATTTCAAGAGGATCGATTACAGTGTTTTAGGTATTTTTCGGCCACACTACTGAACCACAAGTTCCTGATCAAGTACTCGATCCGTAATAACCAAAAGCTTTCGTCAATATATCGTCAGTCTACCTCTTTTGTCGGCCCCATGGTAAGCCGACAAAAAGCGTTCGAGGTGTTGTCACAAGGGGATTGGTAACTAATGATTAACTAATGACTAATCGGGTAACCAGTAACCTAATAACTATAACCCGAATAATGAAAGTGAGATTTGGCTACCATCAGTTACGGGTGGTCAGTAGTGTGGTTTCTCTGAACTCTGAATTTGAATGAATTTACTCAACCAATGAAACAAAAATAGATTGTCAAATCAGACAAACGAAAACAATAAAAATGACATTTACTAACCTCTAGTAACCTAGTGATTTAAAACTTCCCTTGTCAAAATGGGAATTTTTTTTTGCCTTTTACATTTTTTACTTCCAATTCTCATAACAGTTATACAAAAGCTCTTCACTGAAAAATTAATCTTTTACTCCTTCATAGTATTCCAGACAAAATCTAAAGCTTTTTCAAACTTACAAGAACTCTACCTTCCCTTCCCTCACCACACGCTTTGGCATACTGAGATCATAGAGGGAACAGTTATTGATCCTTCGCTTGTTACACATGTAGGATTCATTATGCTCAGTGATTCATGAAAGGAGAAAAGAATTAATTTAGCACATAGCCTTGTAGTGAAACCTTTGTGCATGAATCAAATGACAAGTGAAGCCATGCAGGCTTAGCCTCATATCTAATATCAGAAAACAAAATCAGAATAACAAAAACAGCTTAAGAATCATCAATAGCACTAATATTGAGCAATAGATAAAGTGAATACAAATAATAAAATAAACTTTCTTTATTCCTTATTTCCTTAACACAGTATGACACTTTCTGCCATGCTACTGAACAATATAATCCATAACTCTCAATATGAGTAAACTAACTCTATACTGATTCACCAACCAGCTACCTAAGTTATCTGATGATCATGTACTACAAAAATTCTCTCTTTATAATGGCTAACAATATTTTGGTTATACTTTCAACAAAAATAATGAAACTTTATAAAATACTTCAACAAAACTCTTGGAAATAAGTATACTTGTTCATTATTGCTAGGATTAGGTTGTTAGTTTGTACATGTACCCAGCCCACCTCAACTGTAGCAGTTTTAAAACCTTTTTTCCGTTTATTTTTTCTTATGTAATTCATTTTTTTATCAGAGTTATTAAGTCTACCATATCTTTAAGTAACATAAAAATCATTCTTATATTATTCTACACATATTGAGTAGTGGAGCTTTGTCAAATAAATAGTTCTTCTATGTCATTCTAGAAATCTTTTTATGTCATAGTTGGTCAATATTTCTTTCTTATAGCTTATGGATTTACTTTCGTGTTACCCAAGCACACACCTTTTTAATTTTAGATTTTTTTCATTCTTTCTTGGTTATGATGTCAGATAAACTTTAATATCTGGAACACTTTTTATAGTTGAGCAAGCATTACTGTTTCTGACATTGAATTAACTCATCACGAATCCCTTTTTCTTTCAAGATGGCCAAGGAACTACAATGTTTGGTTCTACAAGTTTAATCACCTCATTACCCATCTGCAGTTTATGATAAACAGGGACTACAAAGGAGAAGTTCAGTTAATGTTCTTCATGCATGACGTGCACTATCACAGCCAGGCAGAGTGTGGTCAAGTATATATATACTATAAGTGGTTTCCTTTGCCATTTACAGCAACAAGGCATTTTTTCATCTCCCCAAGCTCTTTGACATCAGGATGACAGTGGCCATAGTGGGTTCCCAAGAGACCAACTGCCTTGTCTATTGTTGCTAAAGCTTTCTTTACTTGCTGGTCATTAAAGAGCAACTGCGATAGCTTATGAAGTTCATGTCCATATTCTACACTTGATGAGCCATATGCCTTTTCCACTGCCTCAGAGCTCTGTAGACAGTGATGAGTTGCGTTCTTAAAGTCCCCAATCATGGCATGACACCTTTAAAAAAAGAAAATGGTTAAAAATATGTATGCTGAAATAGTAAGTTCCATTTAAGGTGTTACTAGAGGCTGTTGGCTTAATATCAAGATAACTTCAAAGAAGACAAAAGCTTATACAACACAGACCGCATTTTTTTTTTTTTTGGCATTTGCTATCTGGAATATATGGGCAAATTTAAACGGGGTAAAGCAGATAAATGAAGTTTAATATTTGTTTGAATTTCTGCATCACATACATTCCTATTGTTTTATAAAAATATCCATTTCTTATGATTAATTTATTTGCTGTTTTAATAAGTAATAACAAAAAACATCAATAAAGACTAGTGCATTTGGTACAGTTTATTACCTGGCAATAGCATCATGTGTTTCTGCAAGATCCTTGTTGTACTGATGTAGTATCTGCTTCCTGATCCGTAAACATTCTAAGAGCACCTCTAGAGCATCATGAACACCAACTCTTTCCAATAACCTGATACCTTTGCAGAAAAACAGGTCAGCTTCACAAGCAAGTCTCAGTTCTTCCTCAAGAGACTTCTCCTGATTACAGTCTTTGTTCTGACATCTACCAACTGTTGAATCAACTATACTTGGCGTCATGGCACCCTTGCAGTTCTGACAAGCAAATGCAGAGAAGCATAACAGTTTTTTTTCCATCTCCTCATCCCTAGAAGATAATATAAAAAGATGGTTAAAGGTGTTAAAATATAGCATAATCACTGGTTTGTTATGCTAATCACAATCCCAAGTAAAGCAGCTCAAGAGGGTTCGACTGAAAGCATGCGAGGGGACCTCTGGCAGCTGCTATAAAGTCCACGTATGACCCCAGAGCAATTGGAATTAGTTGCAGTTGATTTGAGAAGAGCTAGGGAGGAAAAACTCAGCTCACAGGAGGTGATAATAGTATTTGAATCCATGAGGAACTCAGAGGTGAGAGGCAAGCATTTTACCATCATGTCATCCTCATCCTCTAGTTGATGATGATGCAAACATGCTCTTCCATGGAGAAGTCAGTATAGACTCATTCTCTTAATCCTCTACCCCAGACTACCCTCCATTAGTGCTTTAAAGGGCAAGCATTGAAGATTGATAAAAAGAAATGAACTAGTACTGTTATAAGTATCTAAAGTAATGGGAAAAGGAAATGGCATTAACGAATACAACAGTACCTGGTACAAGCAGAACACTGGCAAGTAAAGAAGTACTGTTTGAACAGAAGTTTTTGTCTTTCTTCTCTGGGCATACGGCTAGCATGTGGACCATAGCAGTGAGTGATGGCTGAACCAGGAGAAATGTTGTGTGTCGCTCTTACTACTAGAACACCATCAACAAAACTACAAGAAAAAAATAATGATGAGTTACTAGAATCCCATAAGAATACAATCATGTTCACTGAAGGGTGCTACTAATGGTCACCAATCAAGTACTGCGTCCAGTGCAATAGCGCAGCGCAGCCGTGACATCATTAAAACGAAGACAAAGGTGAAATTCGGACAAACAAACTTACAAGTTTACTTTCAGCAAATAATTTTCACAGCTGATCACAGTTGATCTTAGTTTACATGAGWTATTATTGTAACTTTAAGTAAAAATAATAAAATCGGTTCGTATAATCCTCATAGCGGTTAAACAGATAGCAATGTTTGTCTGAATCTTTAAGCTATTTTAGAATCAGCACGCTGCACTATTTTAAGTGCATCAAAATATAACCAAACAAAATGGTTAGGAGTAAGTATTTTATCTATAGATAAGTCCCTAGCACAAAAAAATTGAAAGACAATGGTTCCCATTCTGAGGTTGAGGAAGAAACTCGATCTATTTAGCATTGCAGCTCATGGTTGGATTGTCTTTGGAAACAAATAGATGCCATCTTAGAAATATATCCCCTAAAACAGACTCTCAATGCACTACAATGCCAATGCTCACTCTATTCCTTGATCTTGGAATGGCTTATATGAATTGCATTTATATTACTTTTCAATATTACGCAAACTTTGTAGTGAGAGCTGCATCATGCTAAAATTTGCTTTTTTGATTGCATTGATCAAAAATGATCAGTCAATACCTTTAACTCTTAAAAAAATAATTTCCAATGGGCAACTTGCAATAATATTGAGTTGCATAATATTGAAATTTGCTGTAAACTGTACGCCACTTTAAAATACAATTTAGAGGGATTCCCTAAGATTATGTGAAATGGTCAAATCTGTTGGAAATTCTTTTCTTACCTTACTATTACATCAGGATCACATGCATGATTGAGTAATGATCCGGTAGAATAAATAGCAGTAGCAATTCTTCTTTGTTCTCGTGAAATAACCTGTCCATGAACACCTATACTATTATAGTCCTCATCACCTTCCTCGTCACTGCTACTTGTTGAAACAATTGTGGTGATGGCATGCACGTTACAAAGCATTTGCTGTTGGTGATGCAATAACAATGATCCTACAACCTCTTCACTTAAAGTGTTCGTAAATTCCTCGTTGTATAAACCAAGTGAGTCAGACATCTTTCCACATCTGAGGACATTTTTCATTGGTCCATCCTTGCACCCAAGCTCATCAGATGATTCGGAATGTGATCGTTTATAAGAAATTACATCAACAGTTCTCTCCTGTTCACAGGTCTGACATACATCACTCAAATTTACACTGTCATCATCAGAATCTAGTTCATTTTGTCCTGAATCTGCACAATTCGTTTCATTTTCTTGACTTCGTAATCTCTGTGTCTTAGGTAATGATACTGCATCTTCCAAAAATTCCATTAAAAATGCTGAGTTCTGAAAGCCAAAAATATCAGTGTTTAATTGCAGTGTTTCATCTCAGTGCCATTGAATGTATCAGGTAACAGCAGAGGGGTAGCCTGGTCTTGGCCATGGGGGATAGGGACAGTGTATCTTTTTTAACCAATACACATGCTTACAGGTCTCATCTTTTTTCTTTTCATTTTGGGGGGTGGGGGTGGGGCTTGATTCAACACTGGATAACAACTACCATAAATGCATACTATTTATAGTTCAGGACAACATTAACAATTCTAAATGTCTTTATCCATCTTCAATAATTGAAACATGGCAAACCAGACAGCACCTGAAAGCTTGCCTTATTTGTAAAAAGACCCTAGTTTTATTATGTTTTTAACCTCTTCTTTGACATGATATAAGCAATAAAATGCAAGACTACAGTACTTACCAGTGAATATGACATTAATGCCTTGACTGGCTGTAGCTCTGAATTAGTGACTAGTGAGAAGACAGAGCTATAGTCTCCAGGATATGCACCACTAGATGTGCAGCCTGGAACACTTCCCATGTTAACAGATGAAGCCTCCACATCCCTGCCAGTACATGTTTCCTGTAGGACATCTACACCACACAAATAGATAAATATCTGGATTAATAAAGTTGCAAACTAATGCATACCAATGCAAAACATAACTATGACTTTAACTTTTATTGAGAAACCTTGGAATGCAATATAATTTATTCAAAGAAGAAAAAAAACTGCACTGCCCTTACACCACCCTTCTAGTATTCAAGTCAATCACTTAATCTCTTAATGGAAAAACTTGTTTTTTAACAAGCAGAGAGTGAGCTTACTAGCTCACATGATAGTAAGCTGTGTAACTTACTTAGTATTTGCTCAGGCCCAGCTGCCAGTAACACTCTAAGAGAAAGGTGTACAAAGGTGTCCAACTGCAAGAAATAAGTTAAAACTAATTAGTTTTACTAGAAAAAAAAAGTTGAAATAGACTCCATGAACTTAAGTTATGTCATCCAAGAGTTAATAGAGACTTACCATTTCTAAGACAGGAAAAAGAGAACACTCAACTGAATGATATTCCATCCAGGCATTGTCTCGACAAGAAGGAGAGCAATAGAGCACTGAACAACACTTTCTACACCTAAATACAAACAAATACAATGATAATAATTATTGAAAGGCCTTGAAGAACTACAAAATAAAATATAAAGCATGACAATTTGAAAATGTTTAATCATTTTTTAAATTTCCTAACTATCATAAACAAGCAAACTCTGTAATTGCCATTTGCCTGTTGGAATTTGGTTTTTCACTGCTGCCAGTCAAAAAGATGAAAGCTGTTCAGAAATCTGGTTTTGGGAATTGGGAACCCTTTGTTTCGCACGACCGGGATTCCTGTGTGTAATAATCCCATCATGCCCCGGGAAGGGAGAGAAGATGGCGCTGCCCTGAATGAAGTCATAGAAAAGACGTAGGGGACTACGATGTTTTACAAAATTATGGAATCTACCGTTAATAAGAAAATTCTAAGTTGTAATTATGAAAGATAACGAGGATTAAAGGAAGATTTATGTAAAAACAGCCCTAATCTTAATAGTCTAGGTCCAAACGGACACAAAAGCTACCAGTTTTGATTGGCTGCAGCAAAAAAAATATTTCAGCATGCCGGTCACAGCTACCAAGTTTGCATGTTTATGAAAATAGCAGTAAATCTATCTTATGTTATATAGAATATTAATATTTTGCTGTTAATACTGTTGCCATCTATTTGGTGAAAATTTTCTTATTATGTGAACTAGTAAATACTTACGAGTAGGGTGCCACAAGAGGTTTGAAACAATTATCACAATAGCTCTGAGAATTTTCTGGCAGTAAAACTGCTGCAAAAGGTTTTTCAGCAATGAGTGCATCTCCTGCACGGATATCGTCACATGCCTGGAAGATTAAAAAACATGTCATTATATGTCTCTCATTCTGTGCTATGTATCATACCATGAACACTTCCACAAATTTGACACATTTTTGACAAATTCAAAATTAGAATACAAACTCTGCTAATTGAAACATCATACTGATACTTAATTGGTTAGCGGTAAATAGCACAATAATTGTGAATTGAAAAAAATATAAATAAATAAATATGAATAATTATTCAAAAATTGTCAAAAAGATGTCAAAAAGAGAAAAAAACTTGTGAAAACTTGTGTTTTTTTTTAAAAATATGTTTTCAATATATATATACATATTTTCATTTTTTTCTATATATTTCTATCCAATACCTGTAAAAAGCATCGAGACTTTTTTCAAGAAATAAATTATTATTATTATTATTATCATTATTATTATTTAATTGACAATATTTTCTTCACAAAACGAAGGCTCTTGCATGACATTTTTTTGAGCTTTATAAATCTGAGAATTGATGTGTTGCAAGCATTCTCAAGGCAGTTAAAAGAAAAGCATGGCGGCCATTGTGGTGCCATTACCAGTGGATGCTAATGAGAAATCTTTTGTTAAATGACACAAACATAGTCGTGATGACGTAATGTGCAATCGAAGAACACGTACCTGCAGGAATCTACCCTGCTTAGCATCATGATTGATTGCTATAAGTTTTGACCCATTAGCAATTTTATCATGTTGTCCTCCTGCAAGCTCAGGTAGAGCTGGGCTGCTACTTGATCCTAAAATCACACCACAATAACAATTTATTCAAATATACTCTCAATTTTTGAACAGGAAGGAAAAAAAACTTTCAACTTTCATTTTTTTATTTTAATGGCTATTTTTATCTTGGAAGACGAAATATTCATCCATGCTAAAATACAGTAGACACAATTTTTCAAAACAAAAATTCAACAAAGATGAAACTTTCATCCTCCAAGACAGTTACCAATATTTTGCTTCTTATTTGATGATATACTTGCTATATATACGTATATGTGAAGTCTTACCTGTGCTTGCTCTGGCTTGTCTATCTTGTTTCTTCAAGCAAGCTTTTTCTACCTTGATGAGGCAATCACTAAGAGTGTGATTGTACTGTAATGATGAAGCTTCTCTAATGTCATTCAGACAAGCCTGGAATGATTGAACAAAATGAGATGAAATACTAGACTTTCAAACGTAAATTCAGGATTCTTATCATTCATTCTGCTTGGATTGATTTTAGTCATTTTAGTCTTACTGCATTGGGAATTCCTAGCAAGAGGACGCCAAATTCAAATGCTCTGCTTACCTCATATTCTCCAACCATAAACAATGCTTCAGCTCTTCTTGTTAAGACAGCAGCAAGTGTTGGCTCTGAGTTTAAGCTCGTAGGTTCATTGGATGAAGATGTGCTGTTTCTTTTGCAAGGAAAATACTGGATGCTCTATTTTAAGAGAAAAAATATTTCTTGTTTTCAGACAGGTTACTTTAATGAAGCAATATTTTAACATGTATTGAGTATTTACATAAAACCTGAAATACCCAATTCCGGTATTTCACTGTGATTTTGAAAATATAATTATGTAAGGCACATTTTAGAACTTAACACAAGACTTATGCATTGTTTATCTACAAAAAAGAGGTACCAATGTCTTCTAGACCCTATTCTTATAGTCCAACAATTCACAAAGGATGAATTTTTTTTTAAAAAGGGAAAATTGCCATATTGAATCATAACCAATCATTTTTTAATTGGTCTAACAAGCACACTATGAGGCCAAATAAAAACACTGAACTTTGCATGAGTTGAACAAAAATGACATAAAAAAAGACAGCTTTATCATGCATTGTTTTCAATGATTTGAAGTTGGCATTTACCCTGAGACTAAATAAATAATTCAAGAGAACTAGGCACAGTGGATGAAAAAACCTTCACACATAAACATGATAACATATTCCCTAAACAACTGCTTTGCTTACCTTGGAATAGTATGGCACAGCCTTCCTGAACTGCTTTTTCACACAACAATCATCACCAGCACTTGCAAACTGTTGAACTTTCTCAATAGACTTTCCAGGCACACTCCTCTTTCGATTCAAGACCTTTTGTACAGTTTGAATAAGATCTTGGACCCTAGGCTCATTACTGTCAACAAGACCAAAATACAATAAACATACATGCACATTATTTTCACTTTTTCATATAAATTTTAGACACCCTTAATTTTAAAGGGATCTTAAAAATAACAAAATGAAAGACCAAAAACTGAAAAAATGAGATAACACTACTTCCATAATTTGTAAATCTTGTTTAATTGTAACCTCATACATCTTCATAACTCAAAAATTTGATATATAGCTTTCAAAGTAGTTTCCAACATTAGATAACACCTTAAAGTCTTAAAATAGACAAAGTACTTTCAAAACACAATGCTGGAGTACTGAAGTGCCAGGCAATGGTTTTATTTTTATCTGCAAAAGTTATTTATATGTAATTAAATTGCCAAAATTCTACTAATGGTTGGCAGCTGCTTTAAGAGGTGACAAAACTTTATTGCATATAGATAAAAGCCAAAGATAAAAGCAAGCTGAACTTGTTTACCTCAAGCAATTACAGTGACACTGAATTTAATTGGATATGTTTTGCCTAAAAATATGAGTAGTGTATCAGGGAGGAAAACATTTTTTAATATTTTGATTAAAAAAATTAAAATTTTGGAAATTGTTGCGTGTAGCTCTATGATTATGTTACTTACATGTAATTTGTTATTCAAATTCTAAAATGCCAACAATCATTGTTTGAATGCTATTTACACAAAAAGCTCAATTGATGCTGAACAGCAAAGGCCACCTAAACAGCAGTTTGTCAACAAGATTGTACAACAAAGGTGATTGTTTTTAATGCCAAAAATGTCAGTATAATTTGTTCCTATGATTGGTTGCCCTTTGTCATGCTTGTGTTCTGGTGTGATTGTGTGCTGGTGATTTTAGTATTATTTTTAGATGTCTAAAGGTTTGCATTACAGGAACTAGTTATTTTTTGTTTCCACCTTGCGTCATTGCAGCCATGTTGGTACCACTTAACAAAAGATTTAGCATCCATTGTTAACGGTACCACGATGGCCGCCATGTTTTTGTCTTTTGACTCTCTTGGGAACGCTTGCAACCCATCAATTAGTACATGCAACTAGCTCGCCTATAGCAAAACTGTCTGAATAAAAAATCCTACATAAGAAAGGCCAATGACTGACATAAACAAATAAACTGCAGGTTTTCTGACATGACCTGACAAACTAAAGTTTGAAAAAATATTGCCCACACCTATTTTTTAGTGAGAAGATAATACAAAGTGCAGAGTACTAGTCCCTATTTTTAATCTAGCCGCAAAAATTGAATCTTAGCCATTCTTTTAATTATGTGAAGAAATGAGGAATAACCAGCTGAAAACTGAATTTTTTTGGATTATAATACTACCTAAACCCCAAGGATAAAATGGTACAAGATAAAATGTATTTAAGATATGAAATGGTTGACGTTATATTAAAAATGGTTTAAAAAGGACTAATAGATTAATCCGTATTTCAGAGATAGCTAAAAAGATAAAACCTTTTGCAAGGATAACGAGTTGTTTGAAAATTCAAAATAGGGTAGAGCTTGAATGAAAGACAAGATCCTCGAGTCAACAACACCTAGCTGTCAAAATTATCAGGCAGCCTTTGAATCCTTAAAGAGAACATTCTCTGCTGTTTTTTGAAACTTAGAAATAGCAAATTAGTGGACCAAACCAAAGCATTTCAATACTGTCCTCTTAGTGGGATCTAGGCTTCGGGTTTTAAAAATAACCTCAGTAAGTTTAGCTCAAGGTTAGCAGTTTACGAGCTCTAAATTTCGATAGAACAGAATCTCAATCCTCTGTCATGCTGCAAGAAGAGAAGCTAGAGTTGCAAACTTAAGCAAAGAGGAAAACCAAAAGAAAATCATGAGATGAAGAGGATTTTAGGTCTTTCCATATATTACTATTGGTTCAAGCCTTACCAGGTAGCTTTTACTTGACAATATAAATAACCTAAGCTTATATCACTTTCGCATCGCTCAAAAATCAATGAAGAACGTCTAAAACCCACCTATACAAACCCGTTTTAACCTAACTAAAAGAGCAGTTCATGTTCAAAGTTTTATTCATTGAAAGTACCTTATAATACTCCTGCAAAATCTGAATCTTTCCAAGTCAGTCTTTAGCTTGCCGAAGTCTTTCAAATGAGGTCGACTGAGCTGCTCCACCACGATCTTCTCCCATTCTTCCTTTAAATTGAAAGACATGCTGCTTCAGGAGTCCTGAATGTCCTCTGGATGAGCTCTAAAATGACTGTATTACAAGAAGAGTACAAATATATGTGTAAATACAGGACTAACAGGACCAACAACCACCCAAGCAAATCAATAATGAGATGATGAAACTTGGTGGAATATTGCTGCCCTGCGGGAAATCACTCTATGTTACGACCATTTTGATTGGCTGACGGGATGGCATGATAGTTGAAAATCGAAATCACCCAATCAAATTACGTGTTATACTTAACCTGTCAATCTATTTAGACTAGGAAAAACCCAAGAGAGCTGCGCGCGTTGACGAACTCGTGGCGCATGCTATATAGATTATCAAGAGAATATGAATATAATAGTTCATTTTCTCTTAAGATTATATTGTATCAATTATTTTGATCGACACGTGTATCACCACGCAGGTAATCTTTGAGAGTTTTTTAAAGTGAAGGTATTACCAAAAATTTGAATATACCACTTCCTTTTTCGGGCAAGACCTTTGTTCTGGTACACAGATTACTTTGTTATTCCATGTGGCAATAAAATTACTATACCCGTCCTTAGTTCCGGTTCCTTTACCGGCTTAGGTCGTCAAGGTTCTGTTATGACCGGTGTTCTCTTTACGGGAAAATACAAAATATACAGCTATGAACGACTTTTTTATCCATAATGACCCCCCCCCCCCCCCCCCCCCCAGTATTTTTTAAAAACTTGAACAAAAGTAAAGAAATAAAATTACTATACGTGATTTTTAAATATGCATTCAATATGCACTCAGCCGGGTTTTTCGATTTGCCGGTTTGATTGGGGGTAAAATTGAGATCAGTCGGGTTTTTTATGTGGTAGGATACAAAACAATGTCCAAACTGACAGCATCTTTTTATTTACCTTAAGTCAAAATTTTAATTTCATTCAATAATGAAAACGATTGACAGTGATTGATATAACAAATATATGATTTGTTCATGGTTTCTTTGATTTTCTTTGCGAGAAGAGCCAACTATAAACAAAGATAATTTCCCCTAAAAGGCGTTTTCAGGATTTAGACAACAAATTATCGAGAAAAATCGAGATGAAATATACTGTTTTAAAAACAGACATTCCGAGCTTGATCTCAAGATCCTCTTGGATAGGTGAGGCCAAGTATTAATAAAATGACGTCAAACCTTTCAGACGCCTATAAACATTTGATATAAAACGTCAAAAATGATAGAAAGTCGTGCAGCAAATCATGTTTTGGTCTTTCTAAATACAATATAAAATTATAACTATGAATTAAAGCTCTGCAAAGACTGCATGTACAATTGAACCTGCATGCCAAAAGTTATCGTCTTTTCAGAACGATTTTTTCAAATTTTCTCCTGTAATTAAGTTAGAGTGCACGCACTAAAACCGTGAACATTAAATACTACTAATTAGTACTATTTCATACAAAGGTATAACTAGCTAAAACTAGTGTGAGCTGCGTCGGTGTTT